CAAGCCCGCCGGCCACTCCTTCGTCGAATCCGCCGGCCGCACCGTTCTCAAGCCCGCCGGCCACCACTCACTCAAGCCGGCCTCCGCATACTCTAGGTCGCCGTGTGCGACGCTGTGTTTCATTGTGAAAGTTAAACTACTTTGTTTGGCCTTCCAAAAGAGGACATGATTAGAAATCTGTGGTTAAGTTGTATTTACAACACTGTTCCAGAACAGTTTAACCCAAATATCCAGATGTGTGCAGCACATTTTATGGAAAATAACATGATTCACGCTGTGAACTTTTCAATACCTGTAGCAAAGTACTGTAAAAACCTTTTATCGAAGGAACTTCATGCAACTTCACTTCCATGTCATGTCGTGAAAAAGACAAACAGAAATAATATATTAAATTGACAATAATCTTTAAAAATACTCTTCCTGTGGTTGTTATAAACCCGTTGAAACATAAACACCAGTCATTTACACTGTATATATTTTAATAATTCTATTTAAAATAAATTGTACACACACATATATATATATATATAGGCATTTTAAATCAACTTATTTTATACATACATATGTAGAAAATGTAAGTTTATTTAAAGTATATATTAACATGAATCAAAGGATCAGCTTTTTATGATGACAGTTATTTTATTTATGTGTACATGCAAACTGTCCAATATATGATGTGCATTTTATAATCACTAATGTAATATTTAATCCCAGGCACCTTTAAAATTACTCTGAATAGGTCTCAGGTGTCTGTCCTCTTAAATAAGATGTGTTCGTATGAGCTCAGTTCTGCTTCTCTATGACAGTCTCTGGCAGAAGGGCGAGTTTTAACTGCTCTTGTCCAGATATTCCAGATTAGGGGCATCTAGACGCTGCTCCATGTCCTTGTTCTTGGCGAACTCTTTGAGCATGTCCATCACCTCGCTCTGGTACACATCAGGTGTCGGCTGAGCCTCTGATGGGAGGAAGATCGTATTTAGAAACACATTCCTGGTCTTATTGTGTGTGAAAAACCAGTGCATGTTATTGCAAAGAAAAAAATCAATGGATAAAATCAAGTCAAACTCTTGATTTAGATTTCAACTGAATGCCTGAGCTGTGCACCATTGTTCATCTCTTCTATCTGTTTAGTCTGTCCGTTCATACATACCTGTTGCCCAGTAGTAGATGTCCCAGTCGTTGCTGGGTTCATTGATGAGTCTGTCATACTGCTTTAACTGAGATTCACACATTGTGTTCAGGTACTGCTTAGCAAAAAGGCTGGTAACAAAAAAAAGTCACAGTCAGAGTAGTTATATAGTATGTAGTAATAAATATTATGCTTATTTTTGTTTTTAAACTTAAAAAAAAAAAGTTAATATGATTAATAATAATAATGGTAGCACTTTACAATAAGGTTCCATTTGTCAACATTAGCTAACTATTAGTTAACATAAACTAACAATGAAAAATAAATGTATTACATTTACTTTAGTATTAATATTCACTAATAGATTATTACAATCAAAAGTTGTATTTGTTAATATTATTTAATAGACATTAATTAATAATGAACAGTTGTATTTTATGAAGTAATCTCAACAAAGATTAATAAATAAAGATTTATTACAAATAAATCATTGTTAGTTTATGTGAACTAATAATGAACAGTTGTATTTTATGAAGTAATCTCAACAAAGATTAATAAATAAAGATTTATTACAAATAAATCATTGTTAGTTTATGTGAACTAATAATGAACAGTTGTATTTTATGAAGTAATCTCAACAAAGATTAATAAATAAAGATTTATTACAAATAAATCATTGTTAGTTTATGTGAACTAATAATGAACAGTTGTATTTTATGAAGTAATCTCAACAAAGATTAATAAATAAATACTGTAGCAAATGCTTATTGTTAGTTAATCTATTAACCAATGTTAACAAATGGAACCTTATTATAAAGTTTTACCATATTAATTAATATGGAACAGTATTATTTTATTTTTTATATTTTATCTTTAAAATCACTGAGATACTGTTAAAATCACATCAGGAGATACTGTTATAGTCTTTATTCATATTTTTAATTAATTGTTATTTTTATATCTTCTGTTTTCGTTTTAATTTTAGTAATTTTGTTTTATTTTTGTAAAGTACTTTTTTTAATGTGTATATAGTTTGTGTTAATTTTTATTTCCAATTTAGTTATTTTCGTACATCGAGATATACAGTATATATATATATATATATATATATATATATATATATATACACACACACACACACACATAGTATTCAGTGTATACAGCTCATTAGAATTCATCCTGAACATACTTGGATACACTTAGACAATATTATATGTTGTTGCTAAGACTAGAATAAGTTTAGCTGTCTGTTGAGTCGGTGGCATTTATCTAGATGTGTTCTTGACCTGCTGACCTCAGAAGGATGCAGTTCTCCAGCATGCCTCTCTTGCGGCTCTCGTACAGGAGTCTCTTTCTCTCTCTCTCTCTCTCTCTCTCTCTCTCTCTCTCTCTCTCTCTCTCTCTCTCTCTCTCTATATATATATATATATATAGATAGATAGATAGATAGATAGATAATAAGTCGTACAAAATATATAAACGTACAAAATTAGGTCTCAAGAGGTGAATAATCTGTAACATTAGATGTTCATAAACAAGTAAAAATACCTGCTCATGACATTGTCTTCTAAAAAAAACCTAATTATGTAAACTAGTATAAAGAGTGAAATTAGTCTTGTGTATGAATTCAGAGTACAGTTAGCGTAAGCGTCCTCATCTACCCTTGCTGCTCATTTAAAATAGGAAAACAGGATAAAAATCCAGCTAAACAATTTATCCAAACCCCTGCGTTTATTTGGATGTTATACATTAGCTGTATGAAATTAGTATGATGGGCTGCAGAAAGAGGACCTTGTTATCTCACTTCAGACACATGAGGTCAAATGTGATCTTTAAAACTTGTCGCCACATATGAATGCAAAGCAAACAAACGTACCTTTCGTGCGATAGTTGCTGAAAACATTTTATCGTGGAGTGTTTTCAGTGATGTGTGGCTGATCAGGTGTTTGACTGACAGATTTTTTTTATTATTTATTTTGAAGGAGTTTATGCAACTGTTTCACAATCAAAGCAGGAAACGCCGTGCAGCGGGCGCCATGTTGGTAAGGTCAACATCGCTTTCTTATTTGAATATTATTTGAATGTTGCTTTTAATAGCTCTTTGTTTCTATGTCGTGCAGACGTAACGTGTGTGTATTTTAACCTTCGAGTTTTGTCCTTGACCTCTAGGCTGACGCGTAAATTTAATAAAGGTTAAGTCTAATTAAAGCTAGTCTTTGTTTCCCGGGGAATGTATTTCAGTGAGCGCTTGTGCGAGCGGATGGACGTTTTCGGCGCTATATCAATTTTTAAAGGGACAGTGATGCATAAGTTCAATAATTACTCATTATGCGTAGTAATCCCATACTAATTCTCTTTGCTTTACGTTTATTATACGCAAAATAAGCACAAAACCTATTCAATGTCTGAAAATAAACTCGAATTACATTCCAAAGACTAAAACTACTTTAATGTGTCCCCAAAATACAAATTACAAAGGGCGTAATGACTTAAATCTGGCAAACTATGTTCATCAAAGTTAACAACACACTATACAACACACGTAGCAGTTATTTTAATATTATTTTTTATATACTGATTATTTATATATTCGGAATTAGCTTTTATCTTAATATTTTGTTGTCATTTTAATACTTTATTTAAATATTACTATTTTGGTCAATAAAATTAATTTGTTATTTATGTTTTGGTTTTTATTTCCAGTTTCATTTTAGTGCTTCAACCTAAACACATCAGTTACTTGGCAAGGCAAACATTTATAATTTTTATTTACATTTTTTCATCTAATATTTATATTTTGTTTTTAGCTTTATTTGAATTAACAAAAATGTTTTTAATAATAATGATAACTGTGATGGCAAGTGCTTTTATATGAGATTTCTGAGGTAACATGGTAAGATTAAAATCACTTCAATTGCACTCGGTTCTCTACTTTTTTGTCATTCCAACGCTTAACAGATGTGTCAATATGAATCATTGTTATATAGTAACAAGTAAAACAAAAAAATCTTTTGTTTTACAGAAAAAAAAATTACAGCAAATTTAGAAAATAAGGGTGAATAACTTTAAAAAAAATTTGCATTTTTGAGCTAAGGTTGGGGGTATTTTTGTACAACAAACATGCACATGTAGCCATTGATTACCATTTTAAGTCTGCTACACACACTAAGATTGTAGAGTCACTGAAGCAGATGCCCACGCTGGATTTCCTCAGTGTTGAAGACAGGTGAAGCAAAGAATATATCCAGGTTATACTTGCCCCTGATATTGTGATATTTAAAAAAAAAAAAAATAATGTAATGAACCACACAACAGATACATTTCAATCTTTATTTAACAAAATGCTAATAAACAAAAATTCAACATCATAAGCTTGCTTCAGATATAGTCTAATGAACCAGCCATTTCCATGCCCGTATCTCTTCCATTAGGATCAAGTCTTTGAAAATATGAGGTTGAGTGGGATGTGCATCTTCAGTTGCACAGAAAGCTCCTCACTTCTCCAGCGGTGCATAATTCAACAGCTTCTCAATGAGATCCACGTGAGCCAGAAGCATCCGGCGACAGCAGTATCTCTTCAAACCCAGAGCGTCAAGAGCATCACTGTGAAAACCAGCAGAGTGAGATTCAGTTTGACATGGCAAAACACGCAGAGAAATCAAACCTAAATGGAAATTTCATAAACTCACCCTTCTGTATACTCCGCTTGAAGAAGACCTAAATACGCCTCCCATTTGTTCCCTACAATCTTCCCACAAGTGAAGCAGCGGATGGGGATGATCATGGTGAAGGACGAGAGGCCTGAATCGAAGAAAAAGTACGCGTTTATTAACCTGTTTTTGACTAAAAACATGATTATCAGATAAGGATTTTTTTAAATAATTTCCTAGCGATTGCTGGACTTTTTTTTTTTTTTGTATGTAATTTGTGTGTATTTTGTTTATTTGTATGTCAGGTAACGTTACCAAGCTTTTGAATAAAGATAAGCAATGTTTTTACTATATCAATTAATTAATATAAGTATATATATATATATTAGTGTTTAAAAGTGTCTGCGATATGTCTCTCAACAGACAGACTGAGGTTCTCATGATGGCTTATGAGGTTTTACTCTGCAGAGATATGTAAATAAATATGCCCTTAGATAGATAGATAGATAGATAGATAGATAGATAGATGGATACGAAAACGAGACAAAACTCGGTAATAGTTGTAGAGATATTCATATGATGCCTAGAGATTTACAGTAACACTACATAAAAAAAAAAAAGTGTAATAGAGTCGTTCAGCTCAAGATATGTTCCTTAGTTAAGAATCCATAACTAAACTCTTCCTATTAGAGCTGGCTATTATTATGGAAGATGTCAAAAAATGTAAGAAACATTACCAAAACAATCTCGCACGCTACACACGTTCCTCTTGGGCCGCTTACAACAAACGCATTACATCTGCGTAATTTCCGCGTTGCGTTTGTCAAATACGCACGGGCGGAAACAAGGTCATGAGAAGACATCCGCGCGCTTCTGAAGTCCGGAGCAACATGAGAACATTGTATGGAAGAAAAATAATGCCATATGTCTTTGAAACAAAAAATAACTTTGAATAGCACTAACTGAAAAAATAATGCATTGCATTAACAGTGCTTGCATTTTAATGCCTTGTATTTCCAGGGCTTGCATTAGGTCCTGAAATGTAACATAGTTCTCTATTTAAGTGGTGAATATTTCAATTCAAAATATTTCACACACGTTTTCATAATTAAAAATTCAATAATTCATATTCACCTTCCAGAATTCACTTCCAAAATATTCAGTCTGTTTAAAAATACGATGTATAATATTCGACAGGCACATTTCGGTCCATTTTATTTCACTTTCTAAATTCGCTTCCACAAATGCAGTGGTTAAAATTCAGCAGAAAATTCGGCATTGCACATCCGGGAGCTGCAGGAATAGCAGTAGAGCACCGCAGTGTTTCTCAACCAGGGGTCCGTGGACCCCTAGTGGTCCTTGACGTAAGGCCAGGGGGTCCGTATAA